CAGCAATACAGTTATAGTAGGGGACTTTAATACCCCACTGTCTCATCACCAGACAAAAATTCAACAACAGCTCTGATCTAATTGGCTCAGTGGTAAAACATCAGCCTGTGGACCAATGAGTCATGGGTTTGATTCCAGCCAAGGGAAGGTACCTTGGTTGAAGTTTGTCCCTAGCCTTGGTCAGGGTTGTGTGGGAGGCAACCAGTTGGTGTGTTCCTCTCATGTCGATGTTTCTCTCTCTCTCCCTCCCATGCTGTTTGAAGATAAATAGAAAAATATCCTCCAATGAGGATTAAAAACAACAACAACAACAAACAGTGACTTTAAATGACACACTAGATCAGATGGATTTAATTGATATTTATAGAGCATTTTATCTCAAAGCAACAAAATATAGATTCTGTTCAAGTGCACATGCAACATTATTAAAGATAGACCACATGTTAAGACCTAAAGTAAGTCTTAACAAATTCAAGACACTTTAAATCATATCAAGCATCTTCTCAGATCCCAATAGCATGAGACTAGAAACCAACTACAATGGAACACACACACACACACACACACACACACACACACACACATTCAAACACATGGAGCCTAAACATCATGTTATTAAACACTATATGGGTGACAAATAAGGTTAAGAAAGAAATTTAAAAAATATCTGAAAACAATTGAAAGTGAACACATGACAAATACAAAACTATGGGACACAGCAAAAGCAGTCCTGAGAACTATGTCAAGAAGCAAGAAAAAGCTCAAATAAACCATCTAAACCTACAACTAAAATAATTAGAAAGAAGACATCAAGAAAAGCCCAGAGTAAGTAGAAGGAAGGAAATAATAATGATCAGAGTAGAAATAAATGACGTAGAAACAAACAAACAAACAAACAAACAAATAAACAAACAAACAAGATCAGTGAAACCAAAAGTTGGTTGTTTGAAAAGATAAACAAGATTGATGGACCTTAACCATGAAACAAAGAAAGGACCCAAATAAATAAAATCAGAAATAAAAGAGGAACCCTGGCCGGTTTGGCTTAGTGGTTAGAGTATTGGCCCATGGACCAAAGAGACACAGGTTTGATTCCTGGTCAAGGGCATATACCTCGATTGCAGGTTTGATCTCTGACCCTGGTCAGGGTCGTGTGGGAGGCAACCAATCAATGTGTCCCTCTCATATTGCTGTTTCTCTCTCTCACTCTCCCTCCCTCTCTCCCACTTTATTTGAAAATTAATGAAAAAATATCCTAGGGTGAGAATTAAAAAGAAGAAGAAATGTAAAAGGACACATAACAACTGACACCACAGAAATACATGTGATTGTAAGAAAATACTATGAACAACAATATGCTAATAAATAAGACAATTTGGGCAAAATGGAAAAATTTCTAAAAATATACAATCTTCTAAAACTGAATCAGGAAGAATCAGAAAACCTGAATAGATTGACACCAACTAATAAAATTGAAATACACACACACACACACACACACACACACACGCACACACACAAACTCCCAGCAACAAAAGTCTTGGACCAGATGGCATCATAGGCAAATTTTACCAAACATTTAAGTAAACTAACACCTACCATCCTCACACTATTCCAAAAAATTCAAGAGGAGGAAAGATTTCCAGGCTCTTTTTAAGAGGGCAGCATTTTTCTAATTCCAAAACCAGATAAAGACACAACAAAGAAAGAAAATTACAGGCCAATATCCCTGATGAACATAGATGCTAAAATTCTCAAAATATTAGCAAATCAGATTCAGCAATCCATTAAAAAGATTATGTACCATGACCAAGTGAGATTTATTCTGGGGATTCAAGGTTGGTTCAGTATTTGCAAATTGATAAATGTGATACATCACATAATCAAAAGGAAAGATAGAAATCACATGATCATATGAATAGATGCAGAAGCAGTATTCAATACAATTCAGCACCCATTTATGACAAAAACTCTCAGAAAAATGGGAATAGAGAGGTCAACATGAAGAAGGCTATATATGAAAAACATACAGCCAACCTCATACACAATGAGTAAAAACTTAAAGTATTTCTCTTAAGATCAGGAACAAGACAGGGACATCTGCTTTCACCACTCTTATTCAACATAGTACTGGAAGTGCTAGCCACAGCGCTCAGACAAGAAGAAGTCAAAGGTATCCAAATGGGAAAGGAGGAAGTGAAACTGTCATTATTTTCAGATGACATATTGTACACAGAAAATTCTAAAGACCCCACCAAAAAATAGAAGCTCTAATAGAAGCATTTGACAAAATAGCAGGATACAAAATTAACATCCAGAAATCTATGGCGTTTTTATACACCAATAATGAACTCTCAGAAAGAGAAACTAAAAAAACAATCCCATTTATTATTGCAACAACAACACAAAATAAGGTACCTAGGAATACATTTAACCAAGGCTATAAAAGACCTGTACTTAGAAAACTACAAGGCATTGAAGAAAGAAATAGAGGAAGACACAAACAAGTGGAAGCATATACCATGTTCATAGAATGGATTTTTTTTTTTTGGTTGGAAAAATGAACATCATCAAAATGTCTATACTACCCAATGCAAGCTATGGATTCAATGCGATTCCTGTTAAAATACCAATGGCATATTTAACAGATCTAGAACAAATACTCCCAAAATTTATATGGAATAAAAAAAGACACTGAACAGCCTCAGCAATCTTAAGAAAGAAGAATAAAGTTGGAGGAATCACAATCCCAGATATCAAACTCTACTACAAAGCCATCAGAATCAAAACAACATGGTATTGGCACAAGGACAGACATATAGATCAATGGAACAGAACAAAGAGCTCAGAAATAGACGCAAGCCATTATGCTCCATTAATATTTGATAAAGGAGGCAAGAGTATACAATGGAGTAAAAACAGTCTCTTCAGTAAATGGTGTTGTGAAAACTGGACAGATACATGCAAAAAAATGAAACTAGACCACCATGTCTTGTGTACATCATACACAAGAATAAACTCAAAATGGATAAAAGACTTAAATGTAAGTCATGAAACCATAAAAATCTGAGAAGAAAACATAGGCAGTACAATCTCAGACATTGCTTATAGCAATATTTTTGCTGATATATCTTGTAGTGTGAGGGAAACAAAGGAAAAAATAAACGAATGGGGACTACATGAAACTAAAAGGCTCTGCACAGCGAAAGATACCATTAGCAAAACTAAAATGGAACCCACTATATGAGAGAACATATTTGCTAATGGTACAGCTTATAAGAGGTTAGTTTCCAAAATATATACAACAGAAAGATAAACAATCCAATTAAAAAATGGACAAAGGCCTGGCCAGTGTGGCTCAGTGGTTGAAGTTGCTGGTTCGATTCCCAGTCAGGGCACATGCTCAGGTTGTGGGCCCAATCCCCAGTGGGGGGCATGCAAGAGGCAGCCAATCGATGTTCTCTCTCATTGATATTTCCATCTTTCTCTTCTTCTCCATTCCTCTTTCTCTAAAATTAACAGAAAAGAAAAAAAAAAGGACAAAGGATCTGAGTATAAACTTCTCCAAAGAGGACATACAGATGGTCAAGACATATATGAAAAAATGCTTAATGTCACTCATTGTCAGAGAAATGCAAATTAAAAGCACAATGAGGAATCACCTCACACCAGCCGGAATAGCTATCATCGAGAAATCAATAAACAAGTGCTGGAGAGGATGTGGAGAAAAGGGAACCCTAGTACATTGCTAGTGGGAATTCAGACTGGTGTAGCCACTATGGAAAATAGTATGGATTTTCCACAGAAAATTAAAAATGGAACCACAACCCTACATCTGGGAATATATCCTAAGAATCCCAAAACATCAGTCAGAAAGAATATATGCACCCCTATGTTCATAGCAGAATTATGTACAATAACCAGTTCTGGAAACAGTCCTAGTGCCCATCAGTAGATGAGTGAATAAAAACGTGGTGGTACATTTACACAATGAAATACTATGTGGCTGCAAAAAAGAAGGATCTGTTACCCTTTGTGACAGCATGGATGGATCTGGAGAGTGTTATGCTAAATGAAATAAACCGGTGAGAGAAAGACAAATACCATGTTATCCCACTTATATGTGGAAATTAGCAAAATAAACTCTTAAACAAAATAGTACCAGAGTCATGGATACATAGAACAGACTGACAAATATCGGAGGGGAGGAAGGCAGGAAGGACTGGATAAAAGAAGGCGAAGAGATTAGCCTAAGAACATATGTGCATAGCTCATGAACCCAGACAACAGTGTGATAAAGGCCAGGGATAAGATGAATGGCGTGGGCTGGGTGAGGGTGGGAACAGAGTGGGGGGAAAGGGAGATATCTGTACTAGTGTAAACAGTAACAAAAATTATACAAATATTATTAGTAGAGCAAACATTTGAAAACATTTGGTTATCTATATTTCTTTAATGAATTATCAATAGTTCCTTTTGATTATCCAGTCTTTCTGATGGAGCATTCGTGTTTTTAAATTAATTTTTCTTTTTATTATGGAAATTTCAAACACACACACACAATAGAGACAATCATACAACTAACCTTTAAGGTATCCATTGTCACTTCAACAATTCTCAACCTATAGCTGATAATTGTTTTGATTTATTCATACCTTTGTCTGGTCTCCCCAGCTAGATTATTAAAAAAAATTCCAGACACTATATCATTCCGTCTGCATTATCCTCATTGTACAGTTGAGCAAAGTGAAGCTTGGAGAGTTTAAATGATTTGGGGAAGGTCACACATCTAAGTTGCATAACTAGGACCTGAGCCCCATTCTGTTTCACTTCAAAGCCTATGCTTTAAACCAGAATGCTAAAACTTGAAGAAGGTTACAAGTGCCCCAAGTAAGGTAAGAAATGGGAGTTCAGAAGGGTATCCAGGAGATCTTTGCAAAAGAAATGGATTCAGGCTGTGGAAATGGAGGTAGGACACCTTAAAGGAAAAAAAAAAGCTTGTTCTCGGTTCCGCAGCACATGTACTAAAATTGGAACGATACAGAGAACATTAGCATGGCCCCTGCACAAGGATGACATGAAAATTCATGAACCGTTCCATGTTTTTCAACTTCCTGGAAACCGAGGAGGAAAAAATGGCGGCGGAGTGAACGGAGCTACACAGACCGTCTCCCAGAACCAAACTGGAATTACAACTATAACACAGACAAATCGACGGGAAAAACCAACAGAAAAGCAGCCTTCGAGGACCATACAACGAGGGACACTGACTCCATCCCGGTAGGCTTGCGAAGGCGCGAGACGGGGCTGGGAGCCCATGGTTGGCAGCTCGGCAGCGGCCTTAGCTGTGAGCAGCGCCCTCGGGTTACACTCCCAGGCGGCTCCACAGCGCAGCCGGGACAGAAGCTGAAACAGCCACAGCCACTCACCTTGGGCTCCAGCAGAGGGAGGGCAGACTGGACTGGAACTGTGTGGGGACACTCAGGATTTGGAGGGCACCCAGAGCGTTTGCGGAGTGCCAGCCACTCAGGACGGTGGCCACATTGCTCCTTCCCAGGGCTCTGAGGAAAGGCAGAAGCCCCTCCCTCAGAGATCCAACCTCACCCTGTGGACCATTGAAGTGCTAATTGAGGCTCACTAATGACCAGCATCTGCCCCACCCTGGGGAAATCCCCTTGTGCTAAGCACCTGAGGGAGCTTTTCAATCAACTGACAACCCAAAACTCTTCAAGTAACCTGGACTGCTAGCCTCCAGGCAAAAAGCTAGAGGATAACAGTACCTTTCCTGGGCTGGCAACTTTAACCAGGAAAGTAAGACTTGACAGTGGTGTTCAACGTGGGTCCTCCCTCGCTCATCTAAACACAGGAGAGGGAGCCACAAACAGCAGAACACCAACACCCACAGGGAAAACTTGACAGGCTCCAAAGCCCACTCTGAGAGCCAAAATGGTGAAACAACCACAAACAGCAGAACACCAACACCCACAGGGAAAACTTGACAGGCTCCAAAGCCCACTGTGAGAGCCAAAATGGTGAAACACAGAAGCAGAAGCCAAATGAAAGAGCAAGAGACCTCCACCGAAGATGAGATCAATGTGGAGCAATTAGGCATGTTAACAGAGCTAGAATTCAGAGCCATGATCTTGAGGAAGCTGAACAGCATGAGTAAGGACATAGAGACACTGAAAATAAGCCAATTGGAAATTAAAAACCAACAAGAAGAGATAAAAAATGACATATCAGAAATGAAAAACACATTGGAAGGTTTAAAAAGCAGAGTAGAGGAAGCTGAGGACCGGATCAGTGAATTAGAAGACAGGGTAGAAAAAATCAACCAATCAGAAAAACCAAAGGAAAAAACTATTAAAAAACAGAAAGACAGCTTAAGAGAACTATGGGACAGCTGGAAACGTAATAATATTCGCACCATAGGAGTCCCCGAAGAAGAAGAAAATGAGCAAGGGATAGAGAATATACTCAAAAAAATAGTGAGAGAAAACTTCCCTAATTTGTTGAAGGATGAAGGCATTCAAGTTCAAGAAGCACAGAGAGTCCCAAGTAAGAAGAACCCAAACAGGCCCACACCAAGACACATAGTAATTAAAATGCCACAAATTAAAGACAAAGAGAGAATCCTAAAAGCAGCAAGAGATAAGCAACAGGTTACCTACAAAGGGAACCCCATAAGGCTCTCAGCTGACTTCTCATAAGAAACACTACAGGCCAGAATAGAATGGCATGAAGTAATCAAATTCATGAAAAACAAGAATCTGAATCCAAGACTACTCTACCCAGCAAGGCTATCATTCAAAATAGAAGATCAAATAAAGAGCTTCCCAGACAAAAAAAGGCCAAGGGAATACATTAGTACCAAACCAGCACTGCAAGAAATGTTAAAAGGACTGCTGTAATTAGCAGTAGAAATGGGAAAAAAATAGAACCACACTAAACAAAAATGGCAATAAATAAGTACATATCAATAATCACCTTAAACGTAAATGGACTGAATGCTCCCATAAAAAGACACAGAGTAGCTGATTGGATAAGAAAGCATGACTCATCTATATGTTGTTTACAAGAGACCCACCTCTCAACAAAAGACTCACATAGGTTGAAAGTGAAGGGATGGAAAAAAATTTTCCAAGCAAATGGAAAGCAAAAAAAAAGCTGGGGTAGCAATTCTCATATCTGATAAAATAGATTTCAAAATTAAGGCCATAACTAGAGACAAAGAAGGCCACTACATAATATTGAAGGGATCTATCCAACAGGAAGATATAACCTTGATAAACATATATGCACCCAATATAGGAGCACCAAAATATATTTAAAATCTTCTGGAGGACTTCCAAGGAGAACTAGACAACAATACAATCATAGCAGGGGACTTCAACACCCTGTTGACAGCACTGGATAGATCCTCTAGGCAAAAAATTAGCAAGGAAACAGAGAATCTAAATGAAGCACTAGACCAAATGAATTTCATAGATATCTACAGAGAATTACACCCCAAAACTACAGAATACACATTCTTCTCAAGTGCACATGGGACATTCTCAAAGATAGACCACATGATAGGATACAAACTAAATCTCTATAAATTCAAGAAGATTGAAATCATATCAAGCATCTTCTCAGATCACAATGGCATGAAACTAGAAATCAATTGCAACAAGAACATGCAAAGACATTTCAACACATGGAGGCTAAATAGCATGTTATTAAACAATGAATGGGTCACCGAGGAGATCAAGGAAGAAATTAAAAACTTCCTGGAAACCAATGAAAATGAAAACACAACAACACCAAATCTATGGGATGCAGAAAAAGCAGTTCTGAGAGGAAAGTTCATAGCACTACAGGCCTACCTCAGAAAACAAGAAAAATTTCTAATTGACTGTCTAACTTCACAACTTAAAGAATTAGAAAGCAAACAAAAAGAAAATCCCAGAGCAAGAAGAAGGAAGGAAATAGTAAAGATCAGAGCAGAAATAAATGACATAGAGACCAAAGAAACAATTCAAAGGATCAATGAAACAAAGAGCTGGTTTTTCGAAAAGATAAACAAGATTGATGGACCCTTAGCTAGACTCACCAAGAAACAAAGAGAGAGAACCCAAATACACAAAATCAGAGATGAAGAGGAGAAGTAACAACAAACACCACGGAAATACAAAAGATCGTTAACAACTACTATGAACAACTATATGGCAACAAATTCGACAATCTAAGCGAAATGGACAAATTTCTAGAAACACACAGTCTCCCAAAACTATTCCCGGAAGAGATAGAAAACTTGAACAGACCAATAACAACTACGGAAATTGAAGATGCAATCAAGACTCTCTCTGCAAACAAAAGCCCAGGCCCAGATGGCTTCACGGGGGAGTTTTACCGAACATTCAAAAAAGAACTAACACCCATTCTCCTCAAACTCTTTCAAAAAATTCAAGAAGAAGGAAGACTTCCAAACACGTTCTATGAGGCCAGCATAATTCTAATTCCAAAACCAGAAAAAGACACTACGAAGAAAGAAAACTACAGGCCAATATCCCTGATGAACATAGACACCAAAATCCTGAACAAAATATTAGCAAATCGGATCCAGCAATACATCAAAAAAATTATTCATCATGACCAAGTGGGATTCATTCCAGGGATGCAAGGCTGGTATAATATTCGCAAATCAATAAACGTGATACACCACATAAATAAAATGAAGAATAAAAACCACATGATTATATCAATAGATGCTGAAAAAGCATTAGACAAAATCCAGCATCCATTTCTGATAAAAATGCTCAGCAATGTAGGAATAGAGGGATCATATCTCGACATAATAAAGGCCATATATGAAAGACCTACAGCCAACATCATACTCAATGGACAGAAACCAAAAACATTTCCATTAAGAACGAGAACAAGACAGGGATGCCCACTTTGGCCACTCTTATTTAACATAGAACTGGACGTCTCAGACACTGCAATTACACATGAAGAAAAAATAAAAGGGATCCCAACTGGAAAGGAGCAAGTGAAACTGTCATTATATGCAGATGACATAATATGGTACATAGAAAACCCTAAAGACTCCATCAAAAATCTACTAGACTTAATAAATAAATTTGGCAAAGTAGCAGGATACAAAAGTAAGGTCAAGAAATCGATGGCATTTTTGTACACCAATGATGAACTCACAGAAAGAGAAACTGAAAAAACAATCCCATTTACCATCATGCCAAAAAAATTACGATACCTAGGAATAAACTTAACCAAAGAAGTAAAGGACCTATTTGCAGAAAACTACAGGTCATTTAAGAAAGTAATAGAGGAAGATATAAAAAAGTGGAAGCACATACCGTGTTCATGGATTGGAAGAATTAACATCATTAAAATGTCCATATTACCCAAAGCAATCTATAGATTCAATGCAATTCCCATCAAAATACCAACGACATATTTCATAGAACTAGAACAAACACTTCAAAAGTTCATATGGAACCAAAAAAGACCCCGAATAGCCACAGCAATCTTGAGAAAAAAAGAACAAAGTAGGTGGGATCATAATACCAGATATCAGGTTATACTACAAAGAGACTGTAACCAAAACAGCCTGGTACTGGCACAAGAACAGGCATATAGACCAGTGGAACAGAACTGAAAACCCAGAAATGGACCCAAGGCAATATGCTCAATTAATATTTGACAAAGGTGGCAAGAGCATACAGTGGAGTAAAGACAGCCTCTTTAATAAATGGTTTTGGGAAAATTGGACAACTAGATGCAAAAAAATGAAACTAGACCATCAACTTACACCATACACAAAAATAAACTCAAAATGGATAGAAGACTTAAATGTGACCTGTGAATCTATAAAATTTCTAGAAGAAAATGTAGGCAACAATATATCGGACATCATACGGAGCAGAATTTTCACTGATACATCACCTAAGGCAACAGAAATAAAGGAGAAAATGAACACATGGGACTCCATTAAACTAAAAAGCTTCTGCACAGCAAAAGATACAATCATCAAAATGGAAAGGCAACCCGCTATATGGGAGATCATCATTGCCAATGATACATCGGATAAGGGGTTAATTTCCA